CAATATTATTATTAAAAGGTGAAACTTCTGACTTTGTTGCCTCTCTATATTATTTGCTTTTTGTTTAATTCATTAATTTTATTTCCATTATTCTTTCCCTAATCTCTCAGGTTTAGGACAGATTATTAGATCTCTAATTTTCAGTTTTACTTTAATATTTAAAATTACCAATTTTCCAGCAAAGGAAACAACCAACAAAACTAAAAGGCAACCAACGGAATGGGAAAAGATATTTGCAAATGACATATCGGACAAAGGGCTAGTATCCAAAATCTATAAAGAGCTCACCAAACTCCACACCCGAAAAGCAAATAACCCAGTGAAGAAATGGGCAGAAAACATGAATAGACACTTCTCTAAAGAAGACATCCGGATGGCCAACAGGCACATGAAAAGATGTTCAGCGTCGCTCCTTATCAGGGAAATACAAATCAAAACCACACTCAGGTATCACCTCATGCCAGTCCGAGTGGCCAAAATGAACAAATCAGGAGACTATAGATGCTGGAGAGGATGTGGAGAAACGGGAACCCTCTTGCACTGTTGGTGGGAATGCAAATTGGTGCAGCCGCTCTGGAAAGCAGTGTGGAGGTTCCTCAGAAAATTAAAAATAGACCTACCCTATGACCCAGCAATAGCACTGCTAGGAATTTATCCAAGGGACACAGGAGTACTGATGCATAGGGGCACTTGTACCCCAATGTTCATAGCAGCACTCTCAACAATAGCCAAATGATGGAAAGAGCCTAAATGTCCATCAACTGATGAATGGATAAAGAAATTGTGGTTTATATACACAATGGAATACTACGTGGCAATGAGAAAAAATGAAATATGGCCTTTTGTAGCAACGTGGATGGAACTGGAGAGTGTGATGCTAAGTGAAATAAGCCATACAGAGAAAGACAGATACCATATGGTTTCACTCTTATGTGGATCCTGAGAAACTTAACAGGAACCCATGGGGGAGGGGAAGAAAAAAAAAAAAGAGGTTAGAGTGGGAGAGAGCCAAAGCATAAGAGACTGTTGAGAACTGAGAACAAACTAAGGGTTGATGGGGGGGTGGGAGGGAGGAGAGGGTGGGTGATGGGTATTGAGGAGGGCACCTTTTGGGATGAGGACTGGGTGTTGTATGGAAACCAATTTGACAATAAATTTCATATATAAATAAAAAAAATAAAATTACCAATTTCCTTGTAAGTACTGTTTTAGCTGCATTCTTTAAGTGTTGATTATGCAGTATTCCTGTCATTGTTCAGTTCTGAATATGTATTTTCTATTTTACATTTCATTTTCTATTGTTTGTTCTTTATTTGAATGATTCATCTTACATGGAAATGAATTTATTTTCCAAATATGTTTCCTAAATTTCTATTAATTTCTATAAAATTAATTATACTGATTAGAAACTGTTATCTAATAATACCAATTCTTTGAAAATTTAAAAGACTTTTTATGATTACATTTTGTAAATTGTTCATGTGTACTTAAAGTATTTTTTATTTCTATTTTTCTGCAATGATGGACTTGGTAATTTAGAATAGCCCTTCTTGTGAAAATAACTAGAAAAGCTGGACAAAATAGAAAACAAACACCTGAAGTCATTAGAGAACTAATGGAAAAATCCAGTGGAAAATTCAGAAGAAAAAAAGAGTTGTTGAATCAAGCATTAATGACAGCTTTTCCCCTGGGATATCTGCTGATCCCAGAGAAGATGGCTAAGAAGCTCGAACAGAACTTCTGACTAAATTATGGAGTTAAGAAGACAAAAATTGGAGTTCATGGCCTGCTCTGGTAAACTCTACAGGCTTCAAGTTGAGACATCAAAGGTCTATACCCTGGGGAAAAGTATGAACTAGAAGGAGATATGCTCAGAGTCCAATCATCTCAATCACTGACTCAAGTGATTTTAGCTTACTAGTGCTCAAAACCCCTGCCAGGAGACATAAATCCTTTCTGCAAAAAATATCATTTCAGGGCTAAAAGTATAATTTCTTCACACAGTAGTTCTGGTATTCAATCCAAAAGTAACAACATAACTTAACAAAATATTATAAATAAAAATAAGCACAAATAAAAAAATAGCATAAGTAATATAAAATAAAAAAAAATGTAAGAGATGGGCGCCTGGCTGGCTCAATTGGAAGAGCATGAGACTCTTGTTCTTGGGTTATGAGTTCAAGCCCCAGGTTAGATGTACAGATTACTTAAGTAAATAAATAGTTAAACTTAAAAAAAAAATGTAAGAGACCTATAGGTAAATTAGATAAATTTGGTAAAAAAACCACAAGAAAAAACAAAGGAGCTTCAGATAATAGCAGACCCCAAAATTACTAGACACAGGTTTTAAAATGATTTATGCTTAATGTGTTTGAGAAAATAAAAGATCCGATTGAGGTAGATAACTAGACAGATAACTAGAAACCATAAAACAGAAAGAAACAGAAATGACCAAAATGACAACCAAAAAAGTAACAACTGAAATAAATGCTTCAACAGGTATGTTTGACAGGAGATTAGAGACTTCAAAAGAAAACCATGAACTCAAAGAAAGGTAAGAATTATCTAGAATGAACCATCAGAGACAAATGAATGGATACATAAAGGATAATATAAAATGATCTATTATACATTTGTGTGCCAGAAGGAGAGAAGGGGGACAGGATGGGGGAGAAGCAGTATCTGATAAAAGCTGAGAATTTTCTGAAAGAGAATAAGAACATCATATCCCAGATTCGAGAAGCATTACAAACTTCAAAAAGAAAACCAACAAAACCCAAAACATTTAGTTACATCGTAATCAAACTGCTTCAAATTTAAGACAAACATCTTAAAAGCAGCCAGAGAAAAAAGATTACTTTTAAAGGGACAAAAATAAAACTGACATTATTTTTCAAAAAAAATTATGGGAGCCAAAAGCAATGGAATATATCTTCAAAATGATAAAATAGCTGTTAATTCAGTGAAAATATTTTTTGAAAATGAAGGTGAAGTAAATGGTTTAAGGATACAAAAATTGAATTTATCACCAGCAGACATTTACAAAAGGAAATACTAAAGCATGTTCTTCAGGAATAAGAAATATGATCCCAGACAGAAGCTCAGAAATTCAAGGAGTCATAAAGCACATAGACAAAGTAAATGTTTGAGTAAATATAAATGCACAGTAACTGTATAAAAATGTTGTCTTGAGGAATTTAGGACATTAAGTATACACAATGTATATAACATGAAGTGGGGTGGTAAGTAAAGCTGATGTGTTCTCAGGTCCTTGTATCATCCAGGAAGAGGTATAATACAACCTAATAAAAGAATATATAGCTCTCAAGTTCATGGGGCAGGAGAAACAGAATAATTAAAAAATAATCATAAAGAATGCAAAAAAAGGCAAAACCAACATAGGACAAATAAAGAACAAATAATATCATAATAGATTTAAATCAAGCATATTAGTAACTATGTTACACATAAATGGATTAAACACTTCAATTAACAAAATATTATCAAAATAGATTTAAAAAATCTATTCTTTCATACCACTCCTCAGAGTAAAATGCCTTTCCCATCATACTCAGAATAAAATCCAAACCCTTTCCTGGCTTTCAATGCTAATACAATTTAACCCTTTTATACCCCCAAACTTATTCTTTTCTTAGTCACTATACTCCAAAAAGGTAGGCTTCTTTGATTCCTGAAACATTCCAAATTAGTTCCTGCCTTAAGGTTTGCCATTATTGCCCTAGCTGCAAGCATGGTTTCCTCAATTTTTGCAAAAGTGGATATTCCCGTCAAATAGGAGCTTAAGTGGCATTTTCTTAGAAGCTTTCCTTCCTCACGTGATCTGAAATAGTCATCTATTTTAATTTCCTGACTACCACTGTTAACTATCTTATATTCTTATTTATGGTCAATTATCACTAAAATGTAAATTCTTTCATAGTAGGGACTATGAGAGAGAGAAAGAGAGTATGAGTGGGGCAAGGGCAGAGAGAGAGGGAGACACAAAATCTGAAGCAGACTCCAGGCTCTGAACTGTCAGCACACAGCCCAACTCAGGGCTCGAACTCATGAAACACGAGATCACGACCTAAGCCGAAGTCAGATGCTTAACTGACTGAGCCACCCAGGTGCCCTGCAGTATACTTCTGAAGAGCATGTTGTTTTGTTTTTCCCAAATGAGGAAGATGAGAATTATATGGAGGTTACAAAGCATACTTTTGAGAAAGAAATAAGCCCCTTTCATCCATTCTTAAATAAAAGAAAATAAAATTTTAAAAATTACCCCCTTACAGAAAGGTTTTAAGGGTAATTCCAGGAATGGTGATTGATATACTTTGGTTACTTTTTTACTCTTGTTCTATGTTTAGGATTTTCTTTTTCACATCAAAGCAATCTTACTGGTCATAATTTTGCAGCCTGCTTTTAACTTGGAAAAGAAACACTTCCCATTAGAAAGACTAGTCTAGGGGACCCTGGGTGGCTCAGTTGGTTAAGCCTCTGACTTTGGCTCACATCATGATCTCCCAGTTTGTGAGGTAGAGCCCTGCGTTGGGCTCTATGCTGACAGCTCAGTGCCTGGCGCCTGCTTCAGATTCTGTGTCTGGCTCTGCCCCTCCCCCACACACACTCTCTTTCTCTAAAAAAAAAAAAAAAAAAAAAAAAAAGATGAAATAAACATTAGAAAGACTAATCTACTTTTAAAAAATAGCTATATTTCACTAAGCATACATGATAGCATTTGACTCATCTCTAATTGCTAACTACTGTTTCTAATTTTTTATCATTATAAGTATTGCTACCACGAATACTTTTGTTCATAAAACATTTTAAGAGTAATGTAACTAAAGTGATTTTTGTCCACAACATTCATTTAAATGGTATTTCTTAAGGGGAAGGAGGTGGTCAACACAAAAAGGTCTCAGCTTTCTAGGTATTTATGTCTAATTAGGAAAACAATATACTATAGTAATTTGGGGGGAAATTACAAAGGCACCTTGTAATAAAGGACATAATAATCCTATTTATTAAAGCAAAGAAAAAGCAATTTTAATTTCTCAGAAGAGGAGCTAATCAGAAAAACATTTTGTGAACAATATGGAGCTGGTCTTTGAAACAGTGGTAGGTCTTAATGGTTGAAAATGTTCCAGGTCATTGTGGGTGTTGAAGGAGGAAGTAACTTTTCTGCTGTTCTTAAGTTATTTGAGAACAGTTCTCACTCAGGACATTGCAACTTTTAATAAAACAAACAAACAAATAAGCCTTAACAATAAGCAACCAAGACTTGGATCAAAGATTAGACTAATTCCCTTGCCAAGAGTACTGAATTTCTTCCTAATCTCCCTTATCCACGTCTTTTATTTCCTTTCATAATTTTCCCCTTTCTTTTTATCTGTCAAAGACTCTCATCTATTTTAAAGAATGGAAATAGGTAAATCCCTCTACTTCAACACATGTAACCAATACAAAACACTGTAAGTATTTGTGGGATAAAAAAGACAGGGAGATGCTGCCTTTAAACATATATGGTATGCATTTTAATCTTTAGAAAACATTACGTATAACAGATTTTTCACACTGTAAAAGAAATTAGAATATTAAAGGATATTAATCAAGGGTTATTTATCAAATTGTCAAATACCAAATAAGGAACATAGAACTCCATGATCTATTAAAAATGATAAGCAGATAACGAATACTGACTGTGATTTCCTCTCGTGGTTTTACTCTGGCAGGAATAGATTCCATCCTGATAATAATTCCAGTCTTACTGTCACATAGGAGGAGATGCTCTGTGAACCTCAATGAGGCTGCCAGGTTTAGGACGGATGTAAGAACCAAAGTGTCAGAAATGAAAGAGTAAGACTTCACAGGATGTGTTGTTACTGACAGACTGATAGCCAGTTTCCTTCTCCACCTTTTCTTCCTCAAGGATAGCAGCTGCTTCCCACAGATACACAAGCAGAACGACTCCAATCCTTCTCTACCACACTTATCATCTGCAGATGCCCTGGGGCTTGTCTATTTACAACCTTGTCCCTATAGAGCAGAGGTGGAACCCTCAGGGAAGTTCTGGATCCGTTAGCAGCCGGTCTGTTTCACAAACTATTTCTCAGCCCCACCCCACCTCCAGCTACTTCCAATGTTGGTGCTTACAATTCCTGTATCTTTATCACATTATTCATCCCCCTTCCACCCCCACCAAAAAAAGAAAATTTAAAGTGAAAACAACTCATACACTCTGTCTCTAGTGTCTCTAGGCCCCTTTTTCATATAAAGCATGCTTCTTTGGGGTGGCTCAGAAGTGGTTCCCATGGTCTTTCGACCATTTATAGCTTGGGTATCATGCTCTCCAGGTACATGTATAGCCACTCCTGCCTGCCCAACCTTCTTAAATTTTTCCTAGTTTACCTCCCAAGACCAGCTTTATAACAAAACTAGATACTGGCAAAAAGAGATCCTGTAAGTGAAATTGTAGATACAGTCACGTCTTAAACAAGGATCCCAAGTTGTGAGATTAATTTCTGGGTTAAAGGTGCTCTGTATATCCACTTCAAGCCTGCCTCCAGTACCGTGGCTTACAGCCAAATAAAAAAAAAAGCACAGAGTTGCTGGGTACAGATTTTGGAAAAAAAAAAACCACAAATTAAGAGGTACACGGGAGTTTCACTTTTTCCCCAGCTGATGATATATATTTTTTAAAATAAAAGGAAACCGTCCACATTGGAATGTATTAAATAGGCAGAATTCTCCTCCTGGTTTCTCTGCTCTTGGTAGATGTTCTTCTGGCTTCAACTGGTATATATGAATAGTGAAGAAACATCTGAGGATCAAATTCCACTGCCCCGCGGAAGAGGAGCGCTGCAGGACGCACTAAAGCAGGTAGAAGAGATGACGGAGGGACAAACAGGTCTGTGGAGATCCGGAAAGTCTCCAGGAAGGGGCAGCCTGGAAAAGGAGAAGGTAAAAGAAAGCGCGTGGCCGAGTTCAGGCAATTACTGTTGTCTCAGCACGACCACGGCCTGTGATTTTTCTCTCTCACTAAATCCTCTGGGGTCAGTCCCCACCCGGTTCATCAACCTGCGCCTCCATCGCCTCCCCGGGCGAGGATGCGCTCCGGCCCAAACCACCCAACGTACCTCCGAAGCTCACGGTAGCAGCAACACCCCCCGCCCGCCCACCTACCTGTGCTGCGCCTGCGCCTCCCCCCCGCGCACTCTCAAGGTCAGCACCGCCCCCAGCCTCTAACCTAGCACCCACGGAAGTGGCATTAGAGGACGTCCTGCGTATGCTCACCTCTGCGTAGCGTGGGGTCGCAGGCGTTCAAGGAAGGGAGGGACTTCCTGTCCCGCGCGGGCAGAACTTCCGCCAGAGCCGGAAAACTCTCTCCCTCGCGTTGTTTAAGAGGCTCCCGTCTGCAGGGTGGGGAGGGAAGGTCCAGGACGGTCCCGGGGATTCCAGGGCGTCCGGTCTACGACCTGTCCTTGGCGCCATGGTGAGTCCTCGTTTGAAGACTGGAGTAACAACAGGGGGAAGGAAGGGGCCATGAGGTCAGTCCTGTGAAGGTAGCCAGTCGGATTCCCGGCTGAGGATGGAGCAGGCGAGAGCAGTGGGATGATTCGTGGGGGCAGGACCCCGCACCTGTCCCCGGAGTGCTGAAGCTCCTGGGCCCCTGAGGAAGCGGCATCCGCCCTGCCCAAAGGCGAGGTTTGTCCAGGAGTACCTAGTAGGTAGCCAGAATGTTCGTGGTCCATTCACTGTGTATGGCGTGTGGCGCCAGGTGGTCCCTAGAGCTGACCTTGCCGGGTTGATCATTTCCGCCCCTCCCTCCTCCTCTGCTGCTTGGCAGTGGCCAAGAACTTAAGATCTTAGAAATTCCTTTAGCTTTTCCAAGTTGACACAAAGGAACCCTTTCTTGTAGAGGATCAACACTTGTCACCTAAGATAAAGGGCAAAGTCAGCTTATCTTTCAGACTCAGCCCATTTGAAATTGGGAAGGGTGTCATAAAAAATTCAGACTCGGTAAGGAGGGATTTTATTCGAAAGGAATATTGCAAAGGTCTGGGGAATGGGACTATTACATAGGGAGAATGCTCTAACCATAAGATCGGCAAGAGTCTCAAAGGTTAAGCAAAAAGGTTTTTCTTTTATAGGGAGGAGTAAAATAATGGTAGGAAGAACCATATGTGGGGAGGTGAGATGAAAGCATAGTACATTGAACAGTTAATCAGATTGTTTTACTCTCAGGCCAGTCTGTTCTGAGGAAGAGCTGTCAAAAAGGAGTTGTATGCTGCTTCAGACTGAACCGGGGGAAAGAGGATCTTAACCAGAATTTCAGTAACAAATGTTTTGTTTCAGTTGATCTGTGGGCACATGCAGTTCAGCCAATCACTTGTGAAACAACGAATGGGAATTTGTGGGCTCTGTCTCTGAGCTTGTCATAGGTAAACACGTGGGGCATCTGTGAGTCTTACCTAAGTCATGTGGGTACCAGTGGTTCATTGCAGTAAGCTCTTTACAAAACACAAAAGGGTGTAGGGGGTATTTCTGAACCTTTGCTCTTTTCCAAGATCACAGGGATCTGCTAAAGTTCAACATTGTCAATTATTTGACTATATAAAAGATTTCAAATTCTCATCTGGAAAGGAGTGTGTCTTGGCATTTAGTTTCAGTGTACCGTGTTTATCCAGGACCAAATGTCGACCTTGTTCAGCTGTTGTGTACGATGTTGGACTTTCGAATGACTTAGAAACTTCAATGAATGTGAAAGAAAAGAACTTCAAAGTAATGTGGTTTCTGGTGTACTCTACCAGCTAATGTAACATATGATTCTTTTTGGCACTCTGTGTGTTTTTAACTTCAGTGAATAATACAGCTTTTGTTCATTAAGAGTTTTTTTTCTTTTCTTCTCTTTTATATCAGTGAAATTAAGACAAAGATAGGGTATAGTAGAATGAGAAGGAGCCAAAGACAATAATTAGCCTAACCACCTTCACTCCACTCTCTCCCTAATTTGACATAAGGAAGAGTCTGAGGTCTGGAAACAAGCACTGGTTTCCCTAAGATAACACTAGTTTGGCATAGTCAGACTACTACTGACTTAAAAACTCAGTTAAAAATCTCCACTTCTAAATTTAAGCTCAGTTTTTGCTTATTGGTCTGAAAAGCAGAGGATGAAAATACAATAAAAATCCTTAAATTTACAATAGTCACAAAGAAGCTGAATGTGAACTTACGCCCAGTATTCTGTAATACTAGAAGAACTCCTCCTCCTGCCATCTCAAAAAATATAGTTTTATTTTAGGTTGAGGTAAACTCATGCTGTTTCTCAAAATGTCACGTAAGAGAATGTCACCTGGAGAAGGTCACCAGGGGCCAACTAATTGACTCTCCATTCTGGTATTGCTTATATTTTTGTGTTAACTTACTTAACTCCACTTAAGTGTTCCCAGTCATGAAGTTGATAACGTCTGTATATGAAAGTTTAGGCAATGTATGGAATCCCTCAAAAGAAAAGGTTTAGACATTAAATGAAGTGAGGGGTTGAATTTATTTTGAATACAGCTTGGTTAAATTGAGAACTTTTTCACAGCTTGGGCCTAATGCTATGCAAAACAGGCTGTACTTGAACTCAGAAGACCCAGATTCTGCCCATTATTAGTTCCATGAATTTGGAAAAAGGAGTCAACTTAGGTAAGGGTTCCAGTTTCCTCCTAGATAAGAGAAGTGGGGCTTGATGAAGATTAAAACATCTTTTTTTTTTTAAGTTTACTTATTTTGAGAGAGAGAGAGAGAATGAGCAAGCTAAGGAGGGGTGGAGAGAGAGAGAATCCCAAGAATCTGCACCCTTGCAGAGCCTGATGTGTGGCTCGAACTCACGAACTGTGATATCTTGACCTCAGCCTAAACCAAGAGTTCTTAACTGACTGAGCCACCCTGGCACCCCAAGATTAAAATACTTTTTCTAATTCTCACATTTCTGATTCTTTAACTTTCAGGACTTTTTTCAAAAGAGGTACATGTTTCTCATTCAAAAAATTTTAGTCTTGGGGCCCCTGAGTGGCTCAGTCGGTTGAGCGTCCCACTTCAGCTCAGGTCATGATCTCATGGTTCGTGAGTTCGAGTGGGTTCGAGCCCCTCGTCGTGCTCTGTGCTGACAGCTCGGAGCCTGGAGCCTGCTTCAGATTCTGTGTCTCCCTCTCTCTCATCCCCTCCTCTGCTCATGCTGTCTCTGTCTCTCAAAAATAAATAAATGCAGAAAAAAAAAATTTAGTCTGACTTCCACTTTTTTCCTTACCCACTTTTTTCCTTACCCTTTTGATTTTTCAAATTTGATTTTTTTTTTCATTCTCCTTGTGTGTTTTTTTTTTATACATCATGTAGGTAATACTTGGAATCTTTGTACATATGTTTGGCCAGGTATTTCACTATTGTCCTAAATACTATTACAGAATGGAAAGCAAAGTGTTGGGACACCTTGATTTTACTTGTTTTAATTGATAAAAATACACTCTGTTCTTTTATTCCCTGGTACATTAAGTAGACCCAAACTCAGTTAATGCCTGTGCATGTAATAAGGTTCTTCTGTTGTGAGCAGATGAGAGTAGGATTATGGTCCAGACTAAAAATACTTAGTATTCACTCTTAAGTTTTTCTTTCATGTTGTAAAAATTGTTAGTCTATAGACAGTTTACTAAAGGAATGATGAAACTATTTCTTCTCTTATACTTTTCTTTTTGAAAATTACAAATCAGCTGTAATCAAATAGATCTTTTTACCATTTAAGCTTATTTGCAGGACAAAGTATGTAGAATAGAGCTAGTTCCTGGAATTGGAGGTATCTCATGGCTTGTTTTATTTATGTAGCATTCTGTGGTAATTTTTATTGCTGGGATTGAGCTATGTTGTCTGTTGGCAAAAAAAAGGGCTGTCAACTTCTGCCTTACTCATTTAGAGTTAATGAGAAAGATTAGGGGGCCGAAAGGGGTATTGAGAAGAGAATGGTAAATGTTATAAGAGGTATGTTTAACGTGCTCAAAGAATAGAAGTAAGAAATTCTAACAGTAGGTGTCATGTAGTAGGTGACTTAACTGAGGACACTAGTTCTTAAATTTGAGTTTGTGTAGAATTCACCTGTGATATTTGATAAAAATGCTTATCTGGGCCCCATTAATGGGAGGTAGAGTTTCAGAATCTTACTTTTAATGAAGAGTTTTACAGTTAAATCTGAAATTGGCAGTCCTTAAACCATACTTTGAGAGAACTCTAATGCAGACCTTACGGACTTTAGTTGAGATATTGGAGAGATTTGTGTTGGGTGGTGATCAAACATCTGCAGTTTATTGATATGGTGGATTCTTTTAATTGATTTTTGAATATTGCACTAGCCTTGCATCCCTGGAATAAATTCCGTTTGGCTGGGATATATAATGCTTTTCATATGTTGCTGGGTTTGATTTGCTAAAAGTTTAGGATTTTTTGCATTTATATTTATAAGAGGTAAAGATGATCTGTAGTTTTCTGGGCTGAGTGCTTTCTGTTAAGGAAGGTTATTAATTATTGATTCAGTTTCTTTAATAGATACAGGCCTGTTCAGATTGTCTATTTCTTATGTCAGTTTTGGCAAATTGTATCTTTCAAGGAATCAGTCCATTTCATCTAGGTTATAAAATCTGTGGGCATGGAGTTGTTCGTAGTGCTTCTTTATTATTTTAATGTCCGTGGAGTCTGTAGTGATGTCACCTGTTTGGTTTCTGGTATTTTGTGTTCTAGTAATTTGTGTCCTCCTTTTTCTTAGCCTGACTAGGCTTATTGATTTTATTGATCTTTTCAGAGAACCAGTTTTTGTTTTCATTGATTTTTCTCTATTGATTTCTTCTTTCCAGTTTTACTGATTTCTGCTCTAATTATTATTATTTATTTTCCTTCTGCTTAGTTTGGATTTAATCTGCTCTTTTTTTAGTTTCCTAAGGTGGAATTTTAGGTGTTTGATTTTAGATCTTTTCTAGTATTTACATTCAATGCTATAGATTTCTGTTTAAGCACTGCTTTTGCTACATACCATAAATTGTGATAAGTTATGTTTTAATTTAATTAAAAATATCTTGAATTTGTCTTGGTTTTTCCTTTTTGACCCATGTGTTATTTAAAAATGTTTTGTTTAGTCTTGACATATTTTGGGATTTTCCACTTTTCTTTCTGTTTACTGATTTCTAGTTTAATTCCATTGCAGTCTGAGGGAAGACATTGTATGATTTCTGGGTTTTTTTTTAAGTT